GCCCCAAGCCCCAAACCCTAAACCCTAAACCCTAAACCCTAAACCCTAAACCCTAAACCCTAAACCCTAACCCTTCGGCTCGCCAGCCCTGCACTCTGCACGTGTGGGAGGCATCCGAGGAACCCAACCCCGAGGAAGCCAAGCCTTTGCTGCAGGATGAGGGCCAGGCAGAGGCACCATTCCACGCAGTTGGGTTGAGGGTTTAGGGTTTAGGGATAAGGGTTTAGGGTTTAGGGTTTAGGGTTTAGGGTTTAGGGTTTAGGGTCTGCCTGACGCAGATATCCTGAACCCAGGCAGATCCCCAGGAGGCCCAAGAGCCCGACACCGAGACGTACTTCTCCCGTGCCGCAGTGCCTCGGAAGCACGGGGTTTACAAAAATAGGGGACCCCCAATGTAGATTTTAAGTTAAGTCATAGGATCCCCTTAGAACCCCATCTGCTGAGGGGTGAGGGCCACCCCCAAGTGCTGACATCAATGTGCTGCGGGAGTTTTGTTGATCGCGACACCACAGGTGCTCAACGTGGTGACCAAGGTGCGCAGCGAGGCAGCAACATGAGCCAAGATATTCTGTGTGCAGCAGTTTTCAGAACCCAAAATGCCAGCCAAGACTCTCTTTCTAGTCTAGCTGCGTGTCAGTCAGACCGCCGCATCAAGGATACTACCTGAGCACCTCAGCTGCACCGGCACCTCTCAAAGCCGAGTCTTGAGATCGTGTGGCAGCGTGAGTTGCAGGGGTTTCGATTCGATGGCAGTTCTGTCAGTTCTGTCATGCCTCGTCTAGAAGAACTAGGTCAACAGACGACTTCCAACCAATTGTCCTGAATTTACCCTAAGTAACCTAAAAAGTTGCTATGGCACTGCCCTTTGCACACGGAAATGCGAAGGTCATGCAAACGACGTTGAGGAGATCTACAGACGGCTTCTTGCTTTGAGTTCGCAGCTCTAATTAAACTGTAGAAGCACGCCAGCAAGAGCTCCTACTCTGCTCCAGCCTTTCCGCTCAGAAGCGCTGAGAGTAGTAGGTTCGACTCGGACCATGACAACTTCCTCGACGCCAAAGAGTTGCAGCAAGCGTTGCGACCTGGCCAGAGTAGAAACACCCTAAACCCGAAACCCTAAACCCAAAACCGAGTTCGGCACGAATGTGGCGCGCAGGAAACCTCAAAGTCGAAGGGTTGGAATGTCGGACTTCCGGTAGAGTTGTGAGACATTCTGAGACGAATCGACAAGAAGTAGTTTAGGGTTTAGGGTTTAGGGTTTAGGGTTTAGGGTTTAGGGTGACTTCCGGCTATCCTCTTGGGCTTCTTGCCAGCCTGTTGGAGTCGGAGCTCAGGCAATACATCGAGGATGCTCGGCGCTGGAACTCTTAGCAGACGTACTCGTGATCAACCTGCGCAACTTTGGAAATATTGTGCAAGACATGTAGACATACCGTTAGCAGCTCCCAAGTATTGGCCTGATCAGAAGAATCCTCAGCCTTGGCTACCTGCAACACGCATTTTATCTCGCAGGTGCCGTAAGATAAACTGTCCGAAGCCCAGGACCGTGATGGACAGAGGGAGAAGTTCCTCACTTGCAGGGATTGGAGTTTGGGGTTGCTCTCGGGTAGGGGTTCGGGTTTAGGGCAGTTTAGAGTTTAAGGGTCAACATTGTAGGCTGGCTCTGGATCCTTGGGTTGTGGGTGCCAGGCCGCCGCATGGCTGGGAAAGAGAAGGCCACGATCATTGCTCGACAATGAGTTCGGGGCTGTTCCATAAAAGGGTCCCCTCCCCATTGGGGGTTTAGGGTTTAGGGTTTAGGGTTTAGGGTTTAGGGTTTAGGGTTAGGGTTTAGGGTTTAGTGTTTAGGGTACCGGTGCCATATTGCATCAGAACTGCATTGCAGAAGGAAACCCTGCACGCCTCAGGATCCTCGACTGACTCTTTGCCTTACACAAAAAATGCCCACCAGGATGGGCTATCAGGCCCTGCAATCCCCATAATCAACCCCATAAAGGACCTTTTTAAGGGGTTATAGGAACCCTCAACCCTCAACCCTAAACCCTAAACCCTTTTTAAAGGGGTTATAGGAAGTTACAGGGTATAAGAGCCCGTCCTGGCAAGATGCTTTGGCCAGCCTAGCCGGTGCGTACTTGTCCTGCAGCGCCCAGCCTCCCTTCTCAGCTCGCAGATCGAAGTCCCGACGCTCCAATCTTTAGGGTTTAGGGTTTAGGGTTTAGGGTTTAGGGTTTAGGGTCACCAAAGAAGCACCCAATCCCAAAGGGTCCATGTACTATGGAGTTAGGTTACCCAAAAACCATACAAAGAAGGGCTTTGGGGTACGTACTTAATTCCACAACTGTGCTACAAATGGACCCTCTGGGAACCTGAGGTACGGCATGATTGTCTCAATTCCCGTGACATCTGAGCCTCGGCATGCACTTGCGAAAATTGGGGGAAGCTGGACAGAGGAGTCCCTGAATGCCCCTTTTCTATCCCCCCCCCAACCAGGACGGGCTATCATACCCTATGACCCCTGAAACAGGCCCTTAATAGCGTTGATGATGGGGATTATAGGGCCTAGTAGCCCATCCTGGTAAGGAAGCTGCAGTCCACCCCATTTGAACCCTCTCAAAGAGGGGGACCCTAAACATCAAGACAGACCAACCAACGCCTTGGTCCCCAACATATGCAACTCTGAAAAGCCCTAAACCCTACACCCTAAACCCGGGAACTTGCAGGATGATGTTCTCTGGGTGCTGGCGCAGTGCGACGTCTCTGGGAATGGCCGCATCAGCCGAGATGAGGCGATACAGTGAGTAGGGTTTAGGGCATACTAAAAGGGTTTAGGGTTTATAGGGTTTAGGGTTTAGGGTTTAGGGTTTAGGGTTTAGGGTTTAGGGCACTTAGGACCCCAAAGCCTCGACCCTAAGGGCGGGAGATGCGAGCAAGAATGGGAAGAGTTGAGGCAAGAGAGATAGCTGAAGTGATCAGCATCATCCGCAAGCCTGAGCTTAGAACCTCAGCCCTTAACGCAAGACTCCGTGAGCGCATCTTTCCTTTGCTTTTGTCTGCACCAGGGCGGGCTCTTATACCCTACAACCCCTTAAACAAACCCAGTTTTAGGGTTGATTATGGGGATTATAGGGCCTGCTAGCCCATCCTGGAATGCCCTGTGACAGCTGTTTTTGCGAAGCGAGGCCATTCCAGCTATGGCCATGTGGCACGCTTTGGCGGACCGAAACTTTGCCCGACAGCGGCTTGGATGGCCAGAGGTGTCCCAAAACCCAAAACCCTAAACCCTAAACCCTAAACCCTAAACCCTAAACCCTAAACCCTAAACCCCCCACTTGCACCACTTGCACTCAGACTTGAGAAGGAGTGCTGATTGTGTTTGTGTGCGATCCTTTCTCAATGGCTCTTAGGAACGGAATCAACCAGGAAGTAGACCTCAGCCATGAATTTACGTGACTCTTCGAGATGCCCCGCGCGCGGAAAACATTGGCGTAAGTGTCCTCTGCGTGTGTGTGAGCGTCACCGTCTCATTCTCCCTCGTGCTGTGTCCGCCTCTGTTGTTTAATCTCTCTCTCTTTCTCTTCGTCCCTTTCTCCTACGGTTTCTCCTTCTCTTCCCTCTCTCTCTCTCTCTGTCAGTTCTGTTGCCTGAGCTACTGCAGGCTACAATGCTTTGTTGCTTGCAAGGCTGTCTCTCTTGATTGTTTCTTGTTTTGCGGATCTGCTGGTGGATTGGCACAGATGGCACAAGAATTCTGAGGTCACAGTGCTGCGAGTTGCAGTGATCTTGCATCCACTCGCATAGATGGGATGGCCCAGGTTTGTTCGAACATTCGGGTAACGCAGGAACAGCATCGGCGGAATCATTGTACCTAAAGCCGTGTCGCATAACCAGTGCGGTCGATACGTGGCATGGCTCAGGAAGACCCCGAATGGGGTAGACAATTAAGGCACAGTGCCAGTGTTGGCGATGGCAAGCGAGTGCACGTCGACAGTCGTTCTCCGTGAAAGCATGTCCCCTTCTCTGCCGACAGCCTTAGCAAGCCCTAAATCCTAAACCCTCAACCCTCAACCCTCGACCCTCAACCCTCAACCCTCAACCTAAACCCTAGTGCAACCCGACCCAACCCTCAAGACCTCGCAGCCCATGGCTCTTGGTTGCCAAACAGGTCCCAGCGCTAAATGTGGTCACGTAGCCGGTAGCCAAGTCGCACGTATGCCAGATTCACAGACTCAACCCTAAACCCTGAGCCCTAAACCCTAAACTCTATCTGCTTGCACCACATGAGTTCAGAGTATGGTTTGTGAAGCAGGTTTTGTTTGAATGTAAAGATCGGCGAAGTTGCACCGCATGGCCTTGCTTTCGACGGCAGTTGCTGAATTTCAAGTTTCCAGAGCTTTGGACAACTTGACTGCGTGCAACTTTAGGGTTTAGGGTTTGGAGTTTAGGGTTTAGGGTTTAGGGCTTAGGGTTGAAGACTTTGCAATGCCATACATTGCCGAAGGACAGACATTCTTTTCTGCCATCAAATGCATATACCTTCTTAATATCATGCCGCAGCAAAGTTGACGACTCGTTTGTAAACTGGATGCAGAGCAGCTCTGGTTCGCCACGCTGTGCCTAGCTGGCTTGGCCATCAAATCCATATCCCATCAGGTCTCAAGCTTATACAACTGCCATAGGTCGTTCTGTAGATTTTAAGCCCAGATGAAGAGCACTCACATATGCATCTTGCATGCCGTGTCTCACCGGCTGGCCTCAGTCCAATAAAACCCTCACACAGCAGCTTTTTCAGCTTGCAGATGAAAAGAGGAGTCTTTCTTGGCGTCATCTTGGCAGGGCTGCATGGTCAGAGTCTCCCAGGTAGCTGCGTCGCGTTGCACAGGTGCTGGTCTTGAGCAGCGCTGCTTCATTAGGAAAGGGTGGTCGTGAGTATGCAGGTCATTCATCTCGAGAACCGTGGCGAGCTTGGCGACGGTGATTGTTAGGGGCTGTTGCTGTTATGGATGGCCCAGCCGATCCGCCTCCTGGGTGAAGACGCCGTACTCTGACTCAGAGCCCGAGACATCCTGTATTCGGCATTCACCCAAACTCTACTACTACTACTACTACTACTACTACTACTACTACTACTACTACTACTACTACTACTACTACTACTACTACTACTACTACTTACTATATTTTCTGATGATTATTATTAATGCTGTTATTATCAACAATGAGCTTACTTGGTGTGCATCAGCCTTTGTGCGGCTGAGGCAGGAATGAGCTCCAGCTGGAGCTGACGAAGTTGCAGGTCTGGGCAACTTCCCACCAACCCAAAGTTGAGGCAAAATGCCCCTTCCCAGGATGGGCTATGAGGCCCTAGAATCCCCATAATCAACCCTATAAAGGGCCTGTTTTGAGGGGGTTATAGGATATAATACTAACCCTACACCCTACACCCTAAACCCTAAACCCTAAACCCTAAACCCTAAACCCTAAACCCGAACCCTAAACCCGAAACCCTAAACCCTAAACCCTAAACCCTACTTCTTTGGAACCCTTGAATCGGGGCGCCTAGATTCAGAGCGTGGGGTGGCAGTGGAGGGTTGGAAAGGACGTAATCTGGGGGTCGAGAGTTTCTAATGGTATTCCCGTATGGTCCCGTTATAATTGCACTATAGTAGCTTAATAACCCCCCCCACCCCCGGCTCCCCCAAAAAATGTTGTTCTAATTTTAAGGCCCCTATATTCTCGGGAAACCCCGAGAGAATGAACATGGGCAAGTGCCGCGCAAGGATGGCATGGATGAGTTCCTGAAGGAGCCACTAAGCGATTGCGTGACATTCGAGGAAGAAGCCGGTTTCCAAGACGGCCTGCTTGTGTCTTAGCTGCTTAGACTAGGGTTTAGGGTTTTAGGGTTTAGGGATTAGGGGATTTCAGATTTTGTCCAATCCAACCTCTCGTTTCACAACGTTTCGGTGGCACGCGTGGCCCACTGTGGCCCTGATGAGACCAGGGTCTGGTTTGCATGCTTGACTTGGCAAGCGGGGACTGAGTTCCTGGCTAGTTATATTACATACATAATATTATGTATTTTATGCTATATATATATATATATTGTTATTATTATTCGTTGTATATTATGTATTATATGTTGTAGATCCGACATTTTAAGCATATATCATGTACTATATATTCTGTACTATAGATATATACATTACACATGATACATTAACTAGTACATACTATATGTTATGTATTTTATGTGAGACTCGAAAGAGAGAGAGAGAGAGATACATATGTACATATTATATATATATATATATACATATACATATATATAGACACGCACACGAAAAAACCTTTCTGTGGTTTTTGTTTCCTGAACCTTCGCCTTCGCTGAGTCGTCTTTGTGCTCCACAAGCCAAAGAGGAGAAGGCCAAGAACTTCCCCGAGCAGCTGGAGCAAATCCTGAAGTCCAGGCCTTTGCTTTTAGGGTTCAGGGTTCAGAGTTCAGGGTTCAGGGTTTAGGGTTTAGGGTGTAGGGTTTAGGGTTCAGGGTTTAGGGTTTAGGGTGTAGGGCTTGGGTGCCCAAACCGTCTCTTCGTCATCGCAATGTGACTGCATGGTGTTTTTCAGGGCTCAGGGGCACACAGGACAACCGCGCAGCCATGCAGCCCGCAATGCTTTCAGTCCTATTGCAAATTGTCTCGTGGGCAGCGCCTTGGCCCGGGTACCCGTTTAGTAAGGACTCCCCTTTTGAGCCTTATCCCATTGTCCATCTCTTGGACGTTCAGAACAACGCCACCCCCCCCCCCCCCCCCCCAATTTGCCGCCCTGACTGGTTCTCAAAATCCACATGCCAGTGATCTCGATGACGGCAACATCATCTTCAAAGGCCATGATGCTATGGTTCAGGCTGGATGCATCGCTACAGCTTTTCACAGAACCCACGGCTCTCTGCACAGTAGAGGGTTTAGGGTTTAGGGTTTAGGGTTCAGAGTTCAGGGTTCAGGGTTTAGGGTTTAGGGTTTAGGAGGAAGAGACACCTGGGAGAGGCAAAGCGATGCTAAGCTCGCCTGATTGACGGCAAGTCGTTTTGCTTGAACGCCCTTGAGCGTGAACCTTCGCAACGCGATCGGGCGTGTAGGAAGAGTAGTAGGACGTGCATTTTCCAGGGGTGAGGGATTCACAAATCGAGGCAACCGATGCCGTGAGGCTTTCGCAATCAAAGACTCAGCTATTCGTTTATGGTGGGCACTGATGCACCTCGAATCCCGGAATCCTGAGCCCGACAGGCCCCCATGTGACCATGTGTTTCAGCAGACCAAGCCCCTCTGGCCCCCAAGCGCTCAAGCTGAACACACCCCGCAGCTCCCATGTCTTCCACCACGAAGCCGTTTTACTCTGAGGCTTCAAGAGGCATGCGTCGCCCCAAGCTGTTTAATATGGTGTCGGAACAATTTCTAAAGTATTCCATACTAGCATCCAGCATCCCCCCCACAAAAGCCTCTTCTAATTGTTAAGGCTCCGTTTGTTCGGTCCTTTAGGTGTTGAAGCGTGATCTGCTGCCCTCAGCTTCCAGTGAGCAGGGCCACACGATCGCCCCTCGCATTGCGAATGCCCTCGAGGCGACCCGTTTCGAAGAACAAAGTTGTTTAGAGTGAGCTCTGAGGTTTAGGGTGTTTTACGGTTGAACTTAGGGGTATTTGGAGATAGTTGTTAGTTTTTGAGTACTTTAATTCCGAAGAAACAGTAAAAATTATAATGTTTGCTAGCGTTCCAAGGTCGGTACAGTGAAAAAAGGTGTTGTTGTGGGCTTTCGATCTTGTTGGTAGCGAAGCCATCGCTTCTTCACGACTCGATTGTGATCAGGCTTTTGCGGCCTTTGCGGGTGCTATATTGAGAAGTCTTGAGAGTAGTCACTTGCGACTCCATGCGCTTGGATCTCCAGTTTGTTTGAGGCGGCTTTTTCTGGGCTGCGCGTGTGTGCTTCGGTTGCCCTGCTGCTGCTTTGAGGATGGCCAGCACGAGATCGAAAAGGAAGGCAAGGAGAAGTTGCAGCACCTGCCCTGGGATGCATGATCGACGGGTTTAGGGTTTAGGGTTTAGGGTTTGGGGTTTAGGGTTTAGGGTTTAGGGTTTAGGGTTTAAGGCTACCTGAGGCCAATTGCCATCCCAATGCCCAGCCAACACCCTGTGCCCGGTGCCAAGGGCCCTGGTGAAGCGACAAATGATGGAGCTGAATGATGCCAAGGCCACGGTGAGATTTTTCTGCATGTCCTGCGGGTTTTTCGTGTTTTCCCCTTAGCCCTAAACCCTAAACCCTAAACCCTAAAGGATGGCCTGAACGCCACGCTGAAGACGAAGTGGGAGAGGAGCCTGGACCTCTTGGAGGCCAGCCCAACTTGTGGTTTAGGAGTCAGGGTTTGGGGTTTAGGATTTCGGGTTTAGGGTCTAGGGTTTAAGGTTTAGGGTTTAGGGAATCGGGTTTAGAGTTTAGGGTTTCGGGTTTAGGGTTTAGGGTTGAGGTTTCTGACCGGGAGCACGAAGCTTGGCCTGGTAGGGCTGTAGGGCCTGTGGAAGACCCCCTGCCATTGCGTCAGATGCGCGAGTCTGATGATCCTTCGTTCTCTGCTCACTGTAAGCATCTCCCCCTGTTCGAATTTAGGGTTTAGGGTTTAGGGTGAATAACTCGCTAGCCATTTTGATGCTGCCAGCCTGTGCCTAACCGTCCTTTTTGGACAAAGTCCCAGGTTCAGAGTGCAGTATGCTTGGACGTCCTGGGCCTAATGAAGCATCCTCCTGAGCCCGAGTTATGGAGGAGCCTGAATAACTATCACAGGGTTTTGGGGGTTATTATAGTACAATTATAGAGGGGACCCTAGGGGAATATATTTAGCAATTCTTCCGACCTATAGCATGCAGTTACACGAACTGCAAGAGGGTGCCCGCTACATAGAGTGGGGTTTATCATAAGCTTTTTGGTGAGTTGCTTGCGAAAGGCTCCGAGAAAAGCTTATTGAGTAGTAACCCTACTTTTTGTCTAAGAGACGAGTACCCCAACTGCAGCCAAACCCTAAACCCAAACCCTAAACCCAAACCCTAAACCCAAACCTCAAACCCCAAACCCCAAACCCCAAACCCTAAACCCCAACCCCAAACCCTAAACCCGAAACCCTAAACCCCAAACCCCACATGCAACACTGAACAGGAGTATAAGGACACCCAACTTGCCGAAGAAGCCAAGCTCAAGGCTGCTCAGGACCGGAGCAGCCCAGAGATTTGAGGGGTCGGTTCTGAAATCGGGTCCCCTTGTGGGTTGTCCCATTTTTTCGGAGGGGGGTTGGAGTTTAGGGTTTGGGGTGTAGTACTTAGGGCTTAGGATTTGGGTTTAGGGTTTGGGGGGGGTCCTCTTTACAAACTATTCTAATCTGGTGACCGAACCTTGCTTCTGGCGTGTCGAAAAGGTATAGTGTCAGTGCTGGATAAGAAAGCGATAAGTCTGGGTCTCACACCCCGACATCTGGTACACCCAATTTCTTCGTAGTTTTCTTATCGTAGATCCTATGTTGCAGGGCCGAAGTAAGCCAAAACTAAATTGACGCACTCTGGGTACTGGATTCCTGCGCTAGGTTTGAAGTCTGGGAAAGTCTGGCAGGAAACTCGGCGCCAGGCCGAAGACTCAAACATAAAATTGGAGCCCGCTCCCAGACCCGCCAAAGCCCTGTATACTGACACTCCGTACTAGGGACAGTGATAGGGGATGCGATAATTCCTTTTGAGGACTCTTAGTAGAAGGGGGAACCAGTTTGCAGGCCCAAAAGGAAAATGATAACATGAGGGGCACTTTTTCTTAAATTTGACAAATTGAGCTCTTCATTTTGTTAAGTTGAAGAAAACGAGCGAGCCACCCTGGTTTCCACAAAGGGTTTAGGGTTTGGGGTTTGGGGTTTGGGGTTTAGGGTTTGGGGTTGAGGGTTTAGGGTTTGGAATTTTTATCCAGCGCTGTCACTGGTACTGGGTCGACGTGGTTTATTAGCCCGCAAGCCCAGAAGATAGCCCAGTCGCTGTGTGCCCTGCGGAATCAGCAAAATTCACATAGTTGGTGCTTACCAGGTTATAGTTCTGTAAGCTTCGTTTGGAACACGAAACGCGAGGGCACGCTAGCAATGAGCATGTGAATATGTGACCGTGTTATATGCTGTATTTGATGCGCGATACGACTCGAAACGCCAAGGTGCACCTGCGAGGGCGTTGCAATCAGGGTTCAGAGTAGTAGTTAAGTCAGAAGTCCAGGGTGTTTAACAGGCCCCCGGCGTCTTTCAGACCCACAGCCATGTCGCACTCGTAGGTTCGAGTGCATGTTGGCCTTGCCAAGACAGGTCCGAGGCATCGTTCGCGGTATCGTTCGGGTATCGTTCTGACAACAATACAGACACCCCCATCCAAAGCCCATTTCTTCAGGTTACGTTTCAAATCGCAGTTCTGGAAAAATCGCTGTGCCCTGCGGGAAGGCTCTGCGAAACAGGCGTTTTTTCAGCGTCTCAAGCTAGACTCACGTGGCTATCACCGAGAGGTAGCTTCGAAAAGAAGTTCACGGGTGGATTCATGGCAGCGGTACTGTTTTATCGCTGTGCCCTGCGGGAAGACTCCGCAAAACATGCGCTTTTTTATAGGTACATCCTAGTCTTAAGATGCCATCCCCAAGAGGTAGAGAGTTTTTCCTATCATTATCGCATGATTTGGGACTTGTGTGCCCTCGGGATTTCGGTTCTGGGCTATCTTCTTGACATGTTGGGCTACGTTCTGTGCCATGGGGTTGGGCTATCTACAAGGTGATTGGGCCAAGAAACCACGCGCGCTCGTACCATTCTGATTCTGTGGGGGGCAACGGCATCCTCAAAGCTGCTCTCTGCTCCAGTGCTCTGAGTGCCTAAGACCAGTCACATACCATCCTTGGGGCCTAAATGAACCCAAATTTCAGGGTTCATGTGGGGGTTTGCGAAAATAGGAGACCCTTGATGTATAAACCCCCAAATAGTAGGATTCTTTTCGAAGAAGGACCACAATAAGGTGCCCCTGAGAATTCGGAGGCCCCCAAGTGAACCCAAAGTTCAGGGCTCATTTGTTCCCCAAGGATGCACACACTAGACTCTGCGCATACGCATTGGTCGCGGTGAGAAGGATGAACTGGACAGCCTCTATTCCCTTGTCTTTCGCCTGGCTGGGAGCTTAGGGTTCTTCGCAGAGGGGGTGCAGTACGTTTAGGGTTTAATGGGTTTAGAGTGTACAGTAAAGTCCAAAAAGTTGGAACATCCTTATCCCCATACCCCAAAAGGGTACACTAAAGGGAATCCCAGCTCTAATCATCCATAAACCATGTTCCAACTTTCTGGAGTTTGCTGTAGGGTTTGGGGGTTCAGAAGAGTGGCACGTTCAAGAGTCCCCAAACCCTAAACCCTAAACCCTAGACCCTAAACCCTAAAACCCCGGCATGATCCCCATGAAAAGTATGGGAGCTCGACATGGGACACACCGCAAGGCCGCAAGGTACTTTTTTGCAACAGGGCATCACCAGTACCCACACCTGGTGTATGGGTACTTCCCAAATTACAATAGCCCCGTAAAGCTACCCCCCACCCCCCCCTTCCCCAAAAGGGAGGGTACCGTATTTTCGGAACCCCCCATATGTGTTAGTTTGACAGTTGTGTGGCTTCAGGAGTTTGCTGGTGCCTCGCTCTGTGTCTCTCCCAATCCCTGAACCCTAAACCGTAAACCCTAAACCCTAAACCCCAAACCCTAAACATGGAACCCTAAACCCTAAACCCCGAACCCCGAACCCTACAGTAAACCCTAAACCCTGTACCCAAAACCCAGGTGGACTTGATCTGCAAAGCGGAGGACGGTGTCTACCCAGTAATGAGGTCCACCCAGCTGCTGACTCCGTGAAGCTTCCTTGTTATCCACGTGGGAGCCCCTAAACCCGAAACCCTAAACCCTAAACCCCAAACCCCCTAAACCCTAGACCCTAAACCCTAAACCCTAAACCCTAAACCCAAACTCCCTAGACCCAAATTCCTTATTGGGCTGCGGCTAGTTGCGCAAGACTCCTTGTCGGAGCAAAACGCCGGCATTCCCCACGTCCATCGCATATTCTTTTCGAGTCAAGTCTTGTTTGGAGCCTTGCTCGCCATGGCGCGATGTCAGCTGCTCTCCTTCGTGCTGCTCTTTGGCGCCCTCGCGTCGGTTTTCAATCAGCAGAAGCTGGCTTCTTGCCTGCAAAGATTCGGGGTCTCCGGCGTTTCAACATCAGGCTCTGCCTCGAAGGGGCATTCGGAGACTGCGGGGTTTTGAACTCTCGAAGCTCCGGCGCTCTGTGCTGGGCTTGGGCGGGGGTCTTCGTTTGGCCAAGGACCCTTCCCGCTTTTCTGGACCAACCCGCCCCCCCCCCCCCCCCCCCCCGTGCCTGCCTGATTGAAAGGACAGGCTAAAAAGCATTCGTTGCCTATCTCCCTCTCTCCTTCTATGCCTCCCTGCCTCCCCCACTTCCCTCCCCTCCCTCCATCTCCCTCCTTCACTTTCTCGCAATCTCTCTCTCTCTCTCTCTCTCGCTCTTTTGTTTGTTCTCTCTCTCTCTCTCTCACTCCCTCACTCTCACTCTCTCTCACTCTCTCTCTCTCTCTCTCTATCGCTCTCTTTCCCTCCCTCTCTCTCCCTCTGCACATATGGTACCCGCTGCCCAAATATCTACATATAATATATATATATATATAATACATTTTACGACCACATATGGATATATAAGGCCTTTTTCCCGGACTTTCTACGAAGTGATATACTGAATGGGGCGGGGAGGGGGGGAGGTAAACGGGCATAAGTCGCTGAAGTGTCCCGTAAAGTTTCTGCGCGTCCTCCGCATACTCGATGTGTGCCCAACCCAGTCAGATCTCAATCGGCCCCCGGATTGAAGGTTGTAATCTCGAATCCGCCCTAAACCCTAAACCCTAAACCCCTAACCTGAGATTCTCAATCGAAATTCGAGATCGCAATCGGGCCTGGGGTTGAAGATGTTGCAGCCAAGGCCTTCGGAATTGCCAGGGAACGACCCACTTTCTCATGGAGGGGCAAAGCGGGCAAAACGACTGAGATACGCGGAGGCTTCACGAATCGTGGCGTCTCCCAGAGAGCTGGAAGTCGTGCGGAAAGCACGCTTTCTTACTACTTGCTTTGGTCTCCCGGCCTTTTCCCCAAAGCCGTGCTATCCTTTGCCTCGCTGTTGGCCCTTCAGCTTCTTGGTGGCCATCTTTCTGAGATGAGTGGCTTGAGAAGACCAGGGAGTCTACCACTTGCTCGGCGCATCTGGGACATGCTACTGCTGCCACTACTGTCGAGTGCCTGTTGCGGAATCCAGCTCATCATCAACGTGCTCGTTGGAGCTAGCGGCTGCGCCGGCTTCAACAAAGTCTTCGGCCCTCTTCGGCCATATTTTCTGGGAGCTTTGCTGAGCAGTCTCTGCATATCCATACTCCAAGGGCACGCAAGCTTCCGCATCCTGGCCCTGCAGTGCCTGCTGGCGTTTTTGCCCGAAGTCGTCCACCTCTGGAACCTACGTGGCGCACGCACGCGGGCGAGTGTGGCGCCTGCCCTGGGCAACTTGGCCACTGTGGAGTTGAGCGTTCCTGGCATGGGTTGCGTCGCCTGCATCAACAAGGTGGGAGAGGGGCCAAACCCTGAACCCTGAACGCTAAACCCTAAAGAAATAGTGTGAACTTAAATCGCTCCTGTGATTGTCTGGCACAATTACCATGGTGCAACTTCCTGGCGCTTGCGCCGCCACAGCTCTCCCTCTCCAGCAGCCCCTTAAAAAGGCCCTGTCTAAGGGTTGATCATGGGCATTCTTGGGCCTAATAGACCATCCTGGCCGTGAGGTGAACAGCTCCCTTCGCGAGGTCGACGGCGTTACGAGCTCTGAGGCCTGGCTGGAGAAGGAGGGCGGCCGGGCCCTCGTCCACTGCGCAGCGGCCTCTGAGACGAAGGCCGAGCTGGGAAGACGGGAACACGGTGTGAGCGAAAACATGGACTATATGACTGGATGATTACCTTTTTGATCACTCTTTAGGACGTATCAGTTTTAGCTGCAAAGATGTTCAGGAATGAGCTTTTCAGACCCCTGATGGTGTAGCATCGAACACCACATGGACGTCAATGATCAATTCAATTCGGTACAGTCGGGTGTGTGTCTCCTTTGGCTCTATCCGCATGGTCGTGCGCGCAGGTACGCGAGCTGGCCAGCAAGCTGGCGCTGGCTGTGGAAGGTGCAGGATTCGAGCCTTGCATGGTGGTTGAAGTACAGGTAAGGTCCTAAGGAGCCTAGAACCACTGCAGAGATGGCCGACTGGTTTTCCAGCTCTTCGGATAGAAGATGTCGACCAGCGGCGAACATACGGCGGCTACATGAGCTTCAAAACTTGGGGAGAGGAGATCCAGCTTTCAGGATTTAAAGTTAGGGTGAGGTTGGTGTTAATCTGGTCTGTATAAATAGACAGGCTAGTAAAGGACAAAATACAAAGGGGTATGTATGTCAGAGAGTCCAGAGGACTTAGGGCAGTACAGCTACAAAGTGGCTTGTAAGCGGGCCTGCTCATGTGGGTCGCCGAAAGCCATGTCACCTCGTTTGGTCTTTGCTTGCTGCTGTTTTGGCCCAAAGCTTTAGTTGCGAGGATGCACGGGCTTAGGGTTTAGGGTTTCGGGTTTGGGGGCATCATCTTATAATCTTTACGGTGTACATCGCTGCCACCAATAGGCACCAATCAGGTTGAAAAGTGTGTCCTGTGTTCTCGCAAACAATTCCTAGAGTCCCAACATAGGTATCAAGAGGGGCGGGGTGGGGGGGGGTGCTCGAGTCGGGCCAGGGAGAGTGGTCTTGCTTACTTACTTGCAAGGAGTCTTAATTCGACTTGCCCTCACCTATGGATGACAGAAAGCAGTACAGCACTTCAACCCTACACGCAGACTCATAGTCTGATAATCCAGCTGTGGCTTGGACTTGCTGATGGCGGCAGCCTCAGTTGCTGTGGGTCCTGCTTGAAGCTCGAAGGGATTCGGAAATCTGGAACCTTGATCCCCAAGCACTCTCCTTGCTGAATGCTGTTAAACCTTGAGGGGGCATCGGATCCACTTTCGCAAGGTCACAAGGGACAAAACCACAAACAGGATCGTGTCTACTTCGATGTCTTAGCAGCACGCACTAGTACGATCCTGACTTCCGAGGCTGTGTGTACGCCTCCTGGCTCCAGTGGCACTGCAACTACTGCTGCCACTGCGTCGATTCACCGTGAGGAGGGGACCAAGACCACCTCCTCATGCTGCACCACCAACACTTTTCTGGTGCTGCTGGTGGTACTTTGAAGCGAGTATCAGGCAGAACCCCAAGCTTACTACTCCATTCTGTCCAGGACAGCGCATCTTCATCGGTGGACGTCGCGCAGCCTTGCGAGACGCAGGCTCTCCTAAGCCATCTACTAAACGATTTGGGCTTGGGGAGGCTGTAATAATTCCTTTTTTATCTCCAAACTCCCCACTTCCCCAATTCCCCACATATTTCAGTTGCACTATGGTTGGACGAGAACTGGACTGTACTATACCTCACGAGGATCAGCCCAGTGCTTGACGTCAGCCCAATCTTCAGCTGTCCCCTGTGAAAAGGCAGCGGCCTCTCAACACACCTAGGTCTTGTTATGGAATATACTGATCACGATGAACTAAGTTTGTGTATAGAACTGTTGGGTAGTGAGGTGCGAGTTTTTTTTTTTTAAGAGGCACCTCAGGCACCCCCCCCACCCCCCCTCACATATCCGATGTTGCACGAGACGAGGCTTCTCACAAAGACAAAGCAGCCGGTCGAAGTGGTTCGGAGGTGCAGCGGCGTGATGACTTCTTTACATGCGACCTGTTGATTTGAAGGTTTGTTGAAGAACCCCAGAACCCTGGAGAGTGAGTGTGTCCCAGGTTTTGGCAGGGACATGTGCTATGCCTGCCTTTAGTCGTCTGCATGAATCTTTGCCTTGCAGCAAGTGCTGAAACATCCCCCGCTCCCGCTCTCGTTTCCAGCAATACCTTTTCGCACCTTGTACCAGCACTAGCACGCTTTTCCATGTCTTGCAGCCATTGCACAGCGCTTCTGCCAAATGCCCTCTTCCCTTGGCCAGACCAACGTCCGGGTCGTGGCTCGTTTCCGACCCCCCGTCACGGACGAAGAGTTCAACGACCAGCCGGTCTTCTTGCTGCGTCCAGGTGGGCGCCCTCGCCTTGCAGCCGGATGGGCCTGAGAGAGTGGTGGGTTTCAGGCCCTTAGCCTCGCTGTCGCCTGCTCATCTTACGAGTCATTGTTAGCTGAGACTCTCCTCAGGTGATAACTCCAATGCCATTGACACCGGAGTGGCAGAAAACGCAACAGTGGAGTCTCAGGATGGGTGTGGGCCTTAGGTCATGGGCATCACTAGCCGGCGCATCCGCAAGCGCATGGATGTGAGAGGTGATCACGGGAATCCCAATGTCAGAATCGAGGCGATGGACGTTTGAATTCGACACGGCATTCAGCGAGGAGGCGGGCATATGGAACATGTTTTTGCCTTCTGCCTGCTGCCACCTTGCAATCTACGGGGAGGGGCGCGTAGGGGGGCAGATTGACTTCATGATCAACCCTAAACCCTAGGCCCTAGACCCTTCCTAGCATCCCTTTGAGGCAAGTCAGCAAGTGGTTTATGACCGCATTGGTCGTCCGGCCGTGCAGGACGTTTTGGCAGGCCGGAGCTCTAAGACGAGTGTGTCAAGGATTCCTCGATATGATTCAAGGAACAAACAGGACGGGCTATTACACCCTATAACCCCTTAAACAGGCCCTTTACAGGGTTGATTATTGGGATGAAAGGGCCGGAAAGCCATCCTGGAAGGTCTGTCTCAAAAAGGGTGCAGCCCAGCCCCCGAGGCTACAATGGGACGATTCTGACGTATGGCCTGCTCTCTCAGTTGTCATCTCACCCGCGGGCCGAGCCTCCAGCTGCCTTAGGGTTTAGGGTTTAGGGTTTAGGGTTTAGGGTTTAGGGTTTAGGGTTTAGGGTTTGGGGTTTAGGGTTTAGGGTTTAGGGTTTAGGACTGTGCGCGGGGTGAACGAGTCGGGCGGAGTCCAGTGAAGACACTTGGTTCAAGCTTGGGTGCTCAGTGAGGTCAGACAGGAAGTGGGAAGACATTTACCCTTTTTGGGCCAAGTTTCACCGAGCCGGCGGCTCAGCACGTCTCTGCAGGTTCTGCAAGACAAATAAAATATTTAGCATATATGTTAAGAAGTATAATGTCATTAAGTGATATTGCATGCGTTCTAGAATATCATGGTATAGTGTTAGAATGGTATTCCAACCTGTTTGCAGGCTTCTAGATCGTTTTTCACCTCACATACCTCGATACCTCAATTTCATCTGCACTCTAGATAGCTCTCGATGAACAGTTCTCCTAAATTCGGGTCCCTTTTAAGGCCCCCCGCCCCTATTTGGCACGGCACCCTTGTAATAAAGACCCCCCCCAAAAGGGACCTGATTTAAAAGAACGACACCGTGGCACGGATCCAGAACCCTCTTAACCCAGGCAGGAGCTGCGTGGGCTTGCGCCGCGAGCCGCCGAGCAGCTGGTGCCAGGGGAAGGGGGGGGGGGGGAGGGCGGGGAGGAAAGTGAATAAAAGGTAGGCAAGGGGATTCTTTGGTTTGTTGCTTTTTTGTTGTTTTTCCCCTTATTGGGTTCAAGAGGCTCATATTTAGCAATATCTTTCTGGGCGGGTCTTTTCTCGGGACCGTCCTAGAATGGTGCAACCGGTTGGGGTATTTCGAGGGTCCCTAGAAAGTTGTTGTGTGGTTGAGGTTTTTGTTTGTGTCAGCTCAGGGCGAAACATCCGGCTCGAGGCCGAAACCTGAACAGCTCAACACCCCTAAATTGGGATGTTCCCCCTTATACTAACAGTCCTTCATAGGGACTATAGTGCCCGTATTGTAAACCCTATTAAGGACCGTTAGTATAAGGGAGAACATCCCAACCCCTAAATCTAAACTAGGAGCGACCAGCTGCTGCGAGGGTTTAGGCTTTAGGGCGCGTGAGGCTCATGGGGGCTTCACGAGAGCAAGTTGTCAAGGCTGCCATGCCCAAGTTTTCAGCCGCCCCCCCCCCCTGCCACAGGAACAATGTTACTTTCTGGACTCGTGCTTAAAACACTCAGTTTTTTTCTACAGAAGGCGGAGCTTCTGGAGAGTGAGGGCTGGCGGCATCGGAAAGCAGGCTAACGCGTAAGGATGCGCATCCTTGCCACTTCCCACCTATTTCGGTTCAGATCTGAAGAGCTAGTTCAAGGCCTCTTCTTGACACACCGGATGGCGAATGCGTCTTTTTGCTTGTGCTCCTTCTCTGCCACTTGCGTTCTGAGTCTTTTCGAAGGTTTTCGAAGGCAAGGCAATGCGATCCCCAGCCCCAGGCCAACGGAGAATATCAGAAGGCACAGGCTAGCGATGTGACGCTGAGGTGTCCACAACGGCAAGAAAGTCTCAGTCGGCATTCATCCGCCAATGCGTTTATTAGGAGCCCAAAACCTTGAACTGTAAAGAGCGAATCCGAACCGTTCCCGCTGAACAGCAGAGCTGCAGTGAACCCTAAACCCTAAACCCTAAACCCTAAACCCTAAACCCTAAACCCTAAACCCTAAACCCTCGTGCAGGTGCAGGAATGCCTGGAGAGACCAAGCGAATCTCGGCTGTCGGGTGGTCGGGTGGTGAATCTGGTCGTGCCCTTAGGGTTTTGGGTTTAGGGTTTAGGGTTTAGGGTTTGATTCCCCTCTCCCCCTGGGCATCTTAACATTTTCCAAGCGCTTCAGCAGTCCTAACTCCTAGAAAGGCCCGGAATTTAACGCCCCCCTGATTCTTAGTAGGGAATGAGGGAATGAGGGCCCCATACATGCCCTTTAAGTGGCCCTTTAAGGGACGCTAAACCCTAAACCCTCATTCCCTGCTAAGAACCAGCCCTAATTCAAACACCTTGAACCCAAGGAGTTGGAGCAGATCTCCATCTGCTGCACCTTCCTGGAGCCAGCAGCCCAGGTTCAGGATTTGTGAGGGAATGAGGACCCTATAGAATCCCTTATTAAAGGGTATGTTTATAGGGCCCTCATTCCTTCATCCCCCACTAAGAACCAGGAAAAGCCACTTTTTAGGGTTGAGGCTGACATGAATAATCTAGGTGGCACTTGAGACATTTTGTGTTTTCCTTTTTGTGTATAAGTAAGAGGATCATATTCAAGAATATTTTTCAGAGGGTTTTGAGGGCCATCCTAGATAATGTTGTTGGAAGTGTGCGGTTCTGGTTATTGGGCGTGGGCTTGCTGAGTAGAGTAGAGTATACCGAAGCACGCCTAAGCCTATTTGCTTGGATGACCTGCCGTGGCTGAGATGGGTGTAGGGTGTAGGGTGTAAACCAGAGATGTCAGAGTCCTGTGCCAAGGATTTATCGTGAGCGGATGCGAGACTTACTCCATCCCTCGAATCAGAGCGGTCGCCTCATGTCTGTCGTGAGACGTGAGACGAGCACCGGCAATGTTTTCGAATTTCTTTGGCTTTGCAAGATTATGCAAGAAATGTATATATATATATACATATACATATATATATATTTATATTTATAATGGATAAAATAAGCGCACGCAATAACCAGCTTTTCTTACCTTAGTGTGCAGCTCGTCGATCCGCTTCAGCTCTGCGAGATTGTTGCGTTCTGTTGCATGAGTTCTGTTACTTTGTTTCTGCTAATAGGTATAAGACGCCTTCCATGGATGCAGCCTTGATTCAGCCAGAGTCCTTCCTTGCTTCAGACGGAAAGTAGGATGCATCTCCCTGAATCCAAAATAATATCCTAGAACCTAAACCCAAAACCCTAAACCCTAAACCCTAAACCCTTGAGGTCTGCGCATCAAGGAGATACCCCAGAGGGGCTTGATCGTAGACGGCTTGACACAGGACCAGATTGACGGGTGCCTTCTGAAGGGTTTAGGGTTTAGGGTTTAGGGTTTAGGGTTTAGGGTTTAGGGTTTAGGGTTTAGGGTTTAGGGTTTAGTCTTCCTCTTGCTATCTCTGCCTCTCTTGAGGGGGTTTTCTTGGGGTTGGGGAACTTTCCTGTATAGTAGAGGCTTCCTGCAGGTTTCAGATTGAAACCCAGGATCCTGGCCTTTTCCTCGCTCCCCAGTGCTACTGAACAAGACAGTAGAAAGCGGGAGAAAAGGGCAGCCTCCATCGAATGTAGGGTTTAGGGTTTATGGTTTGGGGTTTAGGGTTTGTTTTGCAGCATGTGGCAACACTGTTGTCCGAGGACGAGATCAAAAGCACCAAGGATGTTTTCAAAGCGCTGAATGCTGGCAATGCTTGGCGATCCGTTGTGCCGAGCTGAGCTGACCGTCAGCAGACCACGCTTGAGCTCACCATGAACGCAATTTGCGACGGGCGGTGGCCCTTTCCATGCAGCCCAACTCCTGAAGCGCCCCGCAATCACTCAACCACCGAGTTGATGCTGCAAATTGCAGCTCAATCTCCCCAGGCTGCGACGCGACGGAATCTGTACTCTTCACGGTCCCGAGCTCAGCAAGACACGGGCTGCACGGGCAAGCTTGGATGATGCGCTGCTTGTTTCAAGAGCTGCAGAAGGCTCTGTTCGAAGGGTTTGTAAGTTTGTGACACTTGGGCCCAGGTCGCATGCCATCTTCACACTGTACGCTGCGGCCTTACCCTGATCAAGGTAACAAACATGCGGTTCCACATCTGCAGTACTTCCACCACCATCGACCCGCTTGAGCTCGGCATGAGCAGGTGTCCCGCCGATCTGCCTCGGGAAGCAATGTGCGGGAGGTGTGAACCGGAATTAGGGTTCATTAGGAATGATCTGATCGTAACGTTACACCTCTTTTCCAAGACGCGCAGAAGGTTTGTGGTGCCCCTTCGTAATGTATTTCCTCAAGAACCCAAACCCAAGCCTACATGTTTGTAGGTTCCCAAGAATCCGTTTTATAATAATAACCTACAAAAACAAGCAGGTTTTGGGTTCTGAAGGTACTGTTCACTTAAGCCCCATTTCCTTCCACGCTTTGAGGACCCAAAGCTGCGGGGCTTTGGAGTTTAGGGCTTAGGGCGTTTTGCGCTTAGGGCTTAGGGCTTTCAGGTTCAGGGATACCGGCTCATACCAACAACTGGAACCGCGCAATTTCCAGGCAGGTTACGGGCCTCCCAAGCACGTATTGCTATAAGGAGCCAACAGGGTTTTCGCTAGTCGGAAGCTCGGATTAGTGGCACTTGGATCAATCAAGGAAAGGAGCCGGGGCAACCAGGTAACCTGGACACTCTCAAATCTTGCGAGTCTTGTCCACTCCAACTGCTCCATCGGAGAGAGAAGAACTCCCCAGGACAGTCCAGTAGAGTCTTGAGCCGTAGACAATCCTAAACTTTCAGCCCTGAAGCCCCTGATGCACAAAGCCTGTGCCAGCGCTCGGGCAAGCTGTCCCTCGTGGACTTGGCCGGCTCGGAGCGCGTTTGCCGGGAGCCGAGTTAGTAGTCGTCGTTGTCGTCGTCGTCGTGGTAGTAGGAGGAGGAGGGGGAGGAGGAGCATCGTTGATGCTTACCAGGCTACAGTTCTGTAAGCTGCTTTTGGAACACGAAACGCGAGGGCACGCTTGCAATGAGCATGTGAATATGTGACCGTTTCATATGCTGTATTCGAGACACGAAACGCATCGAAACGCCAAGGGGCGCCTGCGATAAGGGTGCCGATATGTACATATGAAGATATGTACGTATGTGCATGTCTGCTGGTGTGTTGGTCAACTCTGCAGTTTGAAGCGCGAATGCTAGGGCTGCTAGGGCGTCATCGCTGGTGCAATCAGGGTTCAGGGTAGTAAGTCAGAAGTCCAGGGTATTTACCAGGCCCTGGGCGTCTTTTTGCGACATAGGCTTTATGGCACAACAGGGAACGTCGAATGTATGCAACAAAGGGGGGGGGGGACACCGCGACATACCCCTACTCAGATCCACGCACTCACAGGTTCGAGTACATGCTGGCCTTTGCCTTGCCAAGACAGGTCCGAGGTATCGTTCGCGGTATCGTTCGGGTATCGTTCCGACAACAATACAGACCCCACATCCAAAGCCCATTTCTTGAGGTTACGTTTCAAATGGCAGGCATTTGTCAGCGTCTCAAGCTAGCCGCGCGTGGCTATCACCGAGAGGTAGATTCAAACAAACGTTCACGGGTGGATTCATGGCAGCGGTGCTGTTTTATCGCTGTGCCCTGCTTTATCGCTGTGCCCTGCGGGAAGACCCCACGTTTTTCCATTGTTCCATCCTAGTCTCAAGATGCTATCCCCAAGAGGTAGAGAGTTTTCCCTATCATTGTCGCATGTTTTGGGCCTTGTGTGCCCTCGGGAGTTCGGTTCTGGGCTATCTTCTTGACATGTTGAGCTCTTCTGTGCCCTGGGGTTGGGACATCTACAAGGTGATTGGGCTATGCAACCACGCGGGCTCGTATAGACAGCTGGGCAGTTGTCTCATTTGTGGTCCCTCTCTGGGTCCCCTTGACAAGGAGTCACCATCATATGAACGACCCTTTGAATTGGGACCCTAAACCCGAACCCTAAACCCTCAACCCTGAACCCTAGACCCTAAACCCTAAATCAACCAGACGGGGGTCGTGATGGTGGTCGCCATGAGGATGAACAGTGGAGGGAGGAAGCTGTGCTAAGGAGAAGGAGGGAAGATTGGGCAAGTAAATGTCCCACCGCTGAAGGACGAAAGCCTCCCACGACAGTGAATCTTAGGGTTTAGGGTTTAGGGTTTTACAAGAACAGCCAGTAGAACACCGACTCAAGGCCGGAGCCACTGTGTCGGAGAGACCCTCGAGGAGGCCAAGAAGATCAACTCTTCGCTGACCGCGCTCGGGAAGGCGAATGCGAGGGCTTAGGGTTTAGGGGTTTAGGGTTTAGGGTTTAGGGCAGTGCTGGTTATGACTATTGTTCTCAGTATCAGAGAGGCCTCTTTATGGATTTTGGGCTTAAGGGTCATGGGCAGGACCCTAAACCCGAAACCCGAAACCCTAAACCCTAAACCCTAATTAAACCCTAAACCCTAAACCCTAAACCCTAAACCCTAAACCCTAAACCCTAAACCCTAAACCCTAAACCCTAAACCCTAAACCCTAAACCCTAAACCCTAAACCCTAAACGAAACGGCAGGTCATCGACGCTTTGGTGGAGCGGCGGGGGCATGTCCCGCACCTCCGGCTGACTTGAGGGTAGTGGAACACCTAGCCCCCCACTAATTAAGCTCTCTAACCTTCCAGGATGGGCGAGTTAGGCCCTATAATCGCTTCGGGTTTAGGGGTTTAGGGGTTTAGGGGTTTAGGGGTTTAGGGGTTTAGGGGTTTAGGGGTTTAGGGGTTTAGGGGTTTAGGGGTTTAGGGTTTAGGGTTTAGGGTTTAGGGCTATTCGGCCCTCTAATCCCCAGAATCAAGCCTTTCTCAAGGGTGTTCTAGGGTAGAATAGCCCGTCCTGGTTGAGCCTGGTTGCCAGAGGTATGTCTCTGTAGGATATCTGTGTGCATCAACCTTTTGGCCACGGATCCTAAGGGCACCCGTAAACCCGAAGGAGTCCACTCCTTGTTGCTTGCGGATAGCGTACCAGGTACCGTGACTCCACGTTGACGCGGGTGCTGGAAGAGGCAACTGAGCCTGTGGGGACATGGGCATTTCCCAAAATAGGGGTACGTTATTAGGGCCCTGATCATAAGGGAATCCTACTATTTGGGGGTCTATATTAAGGGTCCCCGTATTTTCGTGAACCCCTGCATGAAGTGAAGGCGTAGGCTTGAGGTGAAACCCCTCGGAATCGTCTGTTTCAAGGAGCCCATCAGCTTGAGTTGTTAAAGTTTGGTCTCACAGCTTGGGGTTTAGCAATCAGGCGTTCTCCAATCACCGAGCTAGTCTTGGTCTTGCAAGAGCTGGTGGATACCCTAAACCCAATTCTATAAACCCTAAACCCTCGACCCTAGACCCCGAAACCCTGAAGCTCAGGCGCTGGGTGGCAACTCCCGCACCACTCTCATGGTTGCTGCGTCGGCCTGTGCCAGGGCCTTGAGGTTGACTGACTGGCTGGTTCTTCGTAGGGAATGAGGGAATATAATGAGGCACCCTACAATGTTGGACCCTGTTAAGCAGGGGCCTCCTCCATAAAGTAAATTTGGCCGTGCCATTCAGGACATCCTGACTGTTTGGGAGTCCCTGTTTAAAGTCAAACCGTCCGGGCGCCGTAAGAAAATGCCACGTATTGCCGAGCATCGCTGCCCCTTGTAAACTTATCTAAACTCCTCCCAATTTAAATCATACAAACCCCCGGGGCCGTCTAAACAGAGCAAAATCCAGCCTCGACTGTTCAGGGGGGCCGGGGGGGCGGGGGAGGGCTAATCCCTTGAAGGGTGTGTATAGCACCCTACAAAATCCCTTACAGGGTATATATATATATATATATATATAGGGCCCTATATATATATATATATGTATATAGGATGCTCAAACACGCTCGGGGCCTCTTAAACCCTAAACCCTGCTGTTTGCTTAGGAACACCCTGCAAAATTATTGTAAGGTTTTTTTTTTTTTTTTTTGGGGGGGGGGGGGGGGTGGGGTGGGTTCTTAATTAAAGAGTAGAACCCGAAACCCCAAACTCTCTGAAGTAGGGCTTATCGGGTAAGAGGTGCTGTCATTCCATCCGGCCCCAATTCCCTCATTCCCTGCTAAGAACCAGGGGGGCAGAGGGCCACTCGTTTGAAGGGACCATAGTTTAGAGAAATGCCTTAATACGTTCCTCATCAGGCGCAGTACCTGGACGAGACTATTTGTTCACTTCGCTTCGCTTCCAGAGCGCAGAAGGTGGAGCCTGGGCCAGGGGGGGGGGGGGGGGGGGGCGGAGGGGGATCCAGACATCGTTGCATAGACATGTGTATATATATATATATATATTCACTCTTGTTTTTGGTTTATGCATTTGCTAAAGTTTTGCTTATATATGTATACATCTTTTTATACATATATATAGATATATATACGCAGTAGGAATATCTGCACGTGATCATAAGAACAAACAATGGTACCGAAGTGGTTTGAAGAGCAGGCAAAATTGATGGAAGTATATTGAAATGCAACAGAAGAAAAGTCGTAGCATGATAGCCGTTCGAAAGTATTGGTGAGCCAATAGTCCGACACCGGACGGGCGTTAAGGCTCCTGGCCTTACACGGAACACAGATGCACGGAGGGGATACGTTCCTCGAGGGTCCCGGCGCCATTCCCAAACCCCAATGCTTGCTTGGGGCTTCCAGCGCAAGCACCTGACATGGCAGGTGAGCAACTTTGCCCAAGTGAACTTCGTTTACACCGCAGAAGAGCTCCTGCCGTTGGCAGCTTGCCCAGCCTTACAAAAAGCAAGGCCAAAGCAAGAGTGCGCAGTATATTGGGAAAGTTACTTTACTGTAGTTTGGGCCCTGGGGCTGAGAGGGTTTACATGTGCTTTTTCAATCTACCCAAAGGCTCCCATGTAGTACCTTTTTGGGGGTAGTATACTAGAATCCCCTACACCTGACCCAAAAAGGAACCACATTGGAGCCTTTACCTTTCAGGTGAGTCAGTTGCAACGCGAGCTTGCGGCTGCCCGTCGTGAGCTGGCTGCCCAGGAGTGGTTCGACCGCCTATGCCGCTGCATCCTTTTATCCTGGGGTCGGAAGAATTACTAAGGGTGTTCCCTTATGGTCCGTCTATAAGATTACTATAGTAACCCCAAAACCCTGTACTAACTATGTCCGCCTGGTGACTGCATTTGACTGCTAGTGCCGCGGGCGGTTAAGCCCGGCTTCTTGCTACATCTAGGATCGCCGCTGCCCTGTCTCTGACCACATGCTAAGGCTGGCGCAGCAGAATCAGAATGTGGGCACCAAGTCTCTGCCGCTGCCGCCGGAAACTTATCTGGTTTTGCAAAGATACCCGTAGCCTCTCCCAGAAGAGTTTCACGATACCAGCAGCTGCTTCAAAGCCACTTTCCAAGCCGCATGATGTTGTCATAGGGCACCAATAGCGCCTGCGAAAGAAAGGACCTTCCGGCACCCTCGCCGGTCCCCGGCCACCTTTCCCCGGCGTCCTGGCCCGCCCCAGAGAAGCCTCACATGACCAAGGCGTGCACGGGCACGGACAAGCTCCACATGTTCAACCGATGACGTGAAGGCTCAGAAGGGAGTCTAGAGGGTTTATTTTTGGAGGGGCCCATTTGAGTTATTGGCTTCATAATGGAAGTCTTGAGAAGCCGGAAGTGCAAACCTGTTCAAGCCCAGGGCGGTTTTGCCCGAAGTACTTTCCCCCGTCAAGGATCTAGGGTGAGTTGTTTGTGCCTACGCGATTTCCTGGCAACTTGTTGGGGTCCCCTCTTTCGGTGCCATTTTTGAAAGCCCCCCTCAACAACAACAAGGCCTGCCATTGCGGAGCAACCCCCACTTCTTGTTTCACCCTGGTCCTGCTCTGCTCCACGTTGGCCCCTTGCACTTGCAGAGGAGTCGTTTATCCGCGTCCCGTTGCCAAAATGCATTGAGCGCGTGCAGAACTCGGGAGCAGCTCAGTGGGCTTGTGGGGAAGGGGGAGGGTGGGTTTAGGGTTTCGTGTTCCGGGCTTACGGGTTCGAGTGCGGAAGGCCGCGGCAAATGCCCAAACCTTAGTCAGCCCAGGCACATCTGAGTTACAGGATGATGGCAGAATTCTCCATTCGGAAGAATATTTCAGAGCACGAGGCTCCCCCAAAAAACGCATGTTTCGCAGCTTCGCGTCGGTGCTCAGGATATATCCACTCTGTCCACCGGCCTGTCGCGGCACAGCCTGGTGCTCACTGGGTTTAGTGTGTAGGGTTTAGGGTTCAGGGTTTAGGGTTAGGGTTTAGGGTTTAGGGTTTAGGGAGCTGCGCAGCAGTAGCACACAGCTCCGGCAAAAGGACTAGAGCAGCCGTGGGTCGCGTTGTCGAGGGGGGGGGGGTTTATAGTATCCTTATAAGGGACCATTAGGGAAGAGACTATGGGTAACTATTCCGAGGGCCCTTGTATACACTCTAAAGGGGGACATCATTTCATGAGCTGCCCATGTGCCCAGGCACGTTGTCGGCTGAGTCACCCAGGTCCGAACAAAGCCCGGGGGCCCAGCGGGTTTAGGGTTTAGGGTTCAGGGTTGCCAGCACCAGACGTGTCGCATCTGGCCCAATCTGAAGTACGAACTTGTGCTTTGCAAGCGGCTTGCCCTTGCGGTGGACCCACACCTGTTTCCTGTTTCCATTGCATCAAGGTCGAGATCTGACGTAATGCTATTGCGTCTAATTAAGGTGAAATAATTAACTCTCGGGGAAATAAGGCCCCCCTCCCCCCCTACAGGCCCAATAAACCCGGGAAACCTTGGAGGTTGCTCCGGATGAGTGTGCCCACAAAAATTCCTGCACAAGTGGAGCAGGAAACGTGAGGGTAGGCAGGAGTGCAGACACCCGTGAGCCAGCACTGAAAAAGCTGTATGGTGCCCGCCTCATCCCACCTCAACATTTAAACTAAGGCACGCGTGACTGCAACGCAGATAGAAGCTTACCCTCAACCTGCATCCACAAATTCCGCGCGCGTCATGCCCAAAGCCTCAGTACTGTCTCTGGTCATGAACCTGCCGGCTGCCCTGTCGTGGCATCGGGGAAGAAAGGCAAGTCCTTGCCCGCGAAAATCCCAGCTTCGGGAAGCGACTCTTCTCCGAAGGCGTGCGCCCGTCTTTCTGGCACCCTTCACCACCGTCTTCGCCGCCTCGATGTCCTCCTGAGACGGGCCCTCAAGGCGTCGTAGCTTTCCGTGCAACTCCCTGAGCTCACGGATGATGGCGTCCACCGGTGCCTCGACACCCACTTTGCCGATCTGGAGCTCGAGGCTCATGTAGGGCTCCATCCACTGCTTGCTGGCTGGAGATCCAGCCTGGGATCTTGTTGATCATGGTCGTCGCATTTGCGCCCGTTCTTCACGTGAGCGCGGACATGCACGATGTCGCTGTCAGAGTTTTTGTTGACCGCAGAGTCCGTGCTGACAAGTGACAAGCCGAATCCTGCTGAATGCTATCCGCGTCAGCAAGGATCAGATCGTGCAGTTCGGTAAAGAGCAGCCTAATGGCCTTGCGACTGTTGCTGTGAGTCCCAGTGGCGTTCGACGCCACGACACTGCAGACAAGTGGCTCCCACACACCCTTCCAACACTCACAAGGTATTGCAAAAGCGGCAGGTGACTGCAATACGAGCTCCACCATCTGACGGCCTCGAACTGGTTCCCACCTACCGGTGAGTGCCTCGACTGCTAGGTTAGCCAGATGTCGTATCTCGGTCTTGCGATTTGAAAGATCAACACCAGTGTAGCGTTGCAGGTGCTCTCTCAGACCTTGCAGCGATAATCCCCCATCAGGGCCAATCAGCTTAGGAACGCACTCACCGATATACCTAAGCAACACATCTTCCGGGATGCGGCCATGCGTGGTAGGCCTGTGCGCCCCGTGCATACCCCGAACACTTCCCAAACCATGGCCCCGCATCTTCTAGTGTCGGCTCACAGACCTTTCGATTTGTTGAGGGTGTGGCCCTTTGTGGGGTATTGCAGGTTTCGCCTGCAAAAGCCCACCCGCCCTCCCTTCTTTGCTTTCTTTGATACATTTGTTCAATGCAGCTGATGAGTTATTGCAGCTGGGCGGTTGGTGTGCCAGCCTGTCGTGTGCCCGAGTGCACTTTAACCGGGGTTTGTGATGCCTTCCCCCTGCGGCGCTGGCAGCTGCCTGTGGCCCAGGGTGGACCAGTGCGCGATCCATTGAAATGTGTGTGTGTGTGTTGCAGTTTGAGCGTGTAAGCCTGGGTTGGAAGTGTTGTGACAGAACGTCTGGGAGATCTGTGGCGTATTGGTAGCTGCGGATTCCATGTGCGCATTGTCGTGGAAATAGGCCTTGAGGTTATCAATCATGTCACCGGACGCACCCTTTCCCATGGCGGGCGATGAACAGGGTGCTGGGGCCGCAGTGGTGCCGCGCTAGTGCGTCGATCTAGGCCCTGACCCCACACCCTGAAATTCACATCAAGTTAAAGACCTAAGACTGAAGCCAAGCTCCCTTACTAGCCCCAAACCCTATGGTTGCGTAGGTGATTACCATAAAACCCCTTCTAGGCTTCTTCGGTCACCTACACAAGAGGAGGTTTTGAGTTCGTAAGATCTCCCCAAGTCGCCCGGAAGTCCTCTGGCTGGTTCTTAGGAGGGAATGAGGGAAGGAGGGCCCTACGTAATCCCTTAAGGGGTATATATATACATATATACATATACATATATAGCCGCTAGTGTTCGAGCTGGAAGGGCACGCGGCGTTAATGATTAGTCGAAGGTAGTATCCGATGGGACTGAACTTGCATGGTATTTGCCACTTAGTGGTGTTATGGCTTGCAATCCTCTGCCTGCGCAGAAGTGGCGGTTCATTACTTACAATTGCCTTTCACTTAAACAAGCTGGCCGACAACATGATATTTGCAACGCATTCAAGTCCGCCACCGCGTTCGGGGTACAGGGCACTCGTCTCCCATGCTCTGGCGATGCGGTTACCTTTTCTGTTCAGGATGGTTTCACACTTTTTAATTGGGGCTTTGGAAAAGGGCATGCAACAAACAAGTGTGCTGGTGTCCAAATTGGGATTCGTACACGGGACTTCCGCAAGAAGCATGTGGTACGTATTTGGTCTGCTCCGACACAGCTTCAGGGTCGCGGTGGGGCAGTGCGTGTGCGAAATGGATCAGTTGATTTCTGTTTCATATGTTTGTATGCTAGACCCAATCCGGACAATGCACAAGCACGCCAAGGGGTGCATCAAATTTATGAGTGGGCCGGTCGTGTTATGGGGGAGTTACCGAGACGGTGTGTGCCTGTCATCCTTACAGATGCCAATGGGAGGACTGGCATGGTACGCTATGGAGGAAATGCGGGTGAAGTGTGTAATGTGGAGTCTTCTGCAGTTGGGGGCGAAACACCAGAAATGGAGAATTTTAACGGAGCTTGTATTCGACAGTTCTGCGAGGACCAGTACTTGTGCCTGGCCAATACATTCTGGAACTGCGGACACACTTATTGGGGTATGTCCCCTACAGCAAGGAGTCGAATTGACTACATTGCGCTCCCGGTCTCTTTATTGCGAAACATCAGCAACTGCTCTGTATGGCATCGCACAGGGGCCAAATTACAAATCATTTCGGCGAACACTCCTCGTGATCATAGACCTGTGGTTGTGGACGTTGAGCACAGGCTGCAGTATACTTCGGAGCACTCTTCGACACGTGCATTGGATCGTGACGCGATTATGGCGGCGGTTGTATATGGTGATAGGAGGGAAGAATTCTTCGAACGAGTGGAAAGCCGCTGTAAACAGCAGCAACAGCAATGGGATGAGGTTACAGGTAGAGTGTTTCCTGATGCTGCTTGGCAACTGTTGTCTAACACTGTTTCGGAGTGTGCACATGAGGTGTTTGCCCTTTCTCATGCCCGGTATAGTAGACCTGATGACACTCGGCAAGCCATTCGGGACCGGCGTGACGCCAGGCTGGCGCTACAAGATGTTCGGACACAACCGCGTAAAATTATTACTCATCCTTCTTTGCATAGTCGGTCTTGGCGCGTGTACTTGTCCCAGTGTCTTCAGCTCTGGCGTGCAGTTGCCAAAC